GTAGACTGCGCAACTGCCAGTATTTACCTTGCACCAGGAAATAAGCTACCAGTGGCTGATGTTTATCAGTTTCCAAGCATGAAATTTGAGCCTCTTTTTTTTTGGTAACTAACAATACTTTGTCCTGTCATTAACTACAGGATAAACTTTTATTTAAAATACTGGCAGTGGCTACACAGTGAGCGAAACAGATTAATATGACATTTTAAATGTAAATTACAAATCCTTTTCTAAACAATGAAGCTACAGTCCTGTGCAAAGGTTTTAGGCAGGTGTGAAAAATGCTGTAAACAAAGAATCCTTTCAGAAATATAAATTATTGTTTATTGGTCCCGAATGTATTCTGCAGCAGGAGAACGACCCCAAACACACAGCCAAAGTCATTCAGAGCTATCCTCAGTGGAAAGAAGAAGAAGAAGTACTAGAAGTGCTGGTATGGCCCCCACAGAGCCCTGATCTCAATATCATCGAGTGTGTCTGGGATTACACAAAGGCACAGAAGTGTGAGGAAGAATTGATGCTGTTTTAAGGGTAAAGGTTGGTCACACCAAATACTCATTTGATTTAGATTTCTCTTTTGTTCATTCACTGCACTTTGTCGATTAACACGTGCACCTGCCTAAAATGTTTGCACAGTACTGTATGTCAGTCAGATGATGTATACGTCACAAAGTTGGTATAAGGATGAGGTCAGGGCAGTAGATGGGAGAATACAATAGTGGACTCTAGCATGGGAGAGCCCCAGTTGTTTTCTAGTCTACTTCAAGCCAAAAGTCAAGATTTTTAATTTTACTACCTTTTTTTTTTTATTGCGTATTGTATTGTAACGACAATAACAAAGCTCCTCTAAACTTGACAGGACTTATTTCTTCTTTGTCTAAAAGTAAAGTTGCCCTTTTACATACACCAAGCGAAACCCTTGCCATGGTAATGTCATCCTGTATCTGCTATTTTTCAAATAGAATTTTGTTTGCCTCTGTCATAGATTGTATAGAAAAATATATTTTACACAGTTTATGGTCTGTGATGACATAGCACTAAAAAGTCATTCAGGTGTGGTGGTATTGTTCCCTCAAATCTAATCTGCCCACTTTGGCTCCAGGAACACTTGACTTAAGTGGCTCTAGAAATGTCAGAGTACAGATTCATTGGTAATCTTATGTCTTAATGATAAGTTAACTGATAAGCAATCTTTAAGAGAACCTTCACAGACAATCTTTAAGAGAGCTATTCAGAGGCAAGATGGCTGGTAAGTAGGAAGAAAAGGTCGAACCATATCTCCTTTGTAATCTGAGATCTACTTAAGGTTTGAAAGGTAAATTCCCAGCTGCAATTTGACGTCATGTGACTTCATTTTACTAAATACTCTTCTTCACTGTTCTCTTTTCTTTTTTCACATTTAATCATTCATC